CTAATCAACGTCCACAAAAATATTTAAAAAATCATTTTCATATGGCTACGAATAAACCAAGTATAAAACAAAATAATCATTTAAGTACGAATGAAAATCGTACAGATGATGATTATGGAGGAGGTGGAAATTCTGAAATTTGTTCGTAAGTATTTAAAAATGTTTTTTTTTTATCAGTTGAAATATTTAATAAAAACAAAAAAAAAAAAAAGATTTATAAATCTTATTTCTCTTGGAAATAAATTATCAAATGATGACATGTATTTGAGAATATTCATATTGTCGAAAGTAAAAAAAAAAAAAAAATCTATACTGATAATAAAATTAGATCATATTGCAAAATATAAAAAGAAAGAACAAAAAGTTCAAGTCGTTTTCAATTACTCAATTCTTTTTTATCACGACTGACTAAATCAATATTATTATTATTATTCAACTTCATATCAAGCATCATATAACTTTGCTTTCTTCTTTTTTTTAATTTTTTTATAGTAAAATAACGAATGGTGACAATCATAAATCTCGTTCAAATAATAATAATCATTATCATCATAATCGAGGAAATGATGTAGGTTTAATTGAATTCTTTTTATTTTTCATTTTATCTTAATTTTACTTTTGTTAAAAAGCCAACTCGTTGGTGGCTTGTTCATTTTATTCAACGTGTTATTGCTGATCCAAAACGTACATTAACTCGAAGCCGTAGTGCAACAGATGCAACACGTTTTCTTCGTCATATTCAAACACGTATATCACCAGCTATTAAATGTGATTCTGTTTATGAAGAATCATCAACAAATACAAAAAGACGAAATAGTAATTGTGATCAAAATCAAGTATCTCTTTATACTCGAATGCGTTCTCAATCAGTTCCAATTAATAGTGTTTGCAGGTAAATAAAAAACTGAAAGAAAAATAAAGAATATTTATTTTTTTGTTGGTTTTTTATTAAATTTTAGTCCAAATCATCAATTATTATCTTTACATCGTCAATCTGAAACACTTACACGTTCATCATCTGTACATGATCTTCATCGACATGAAGTATTTCGTGCAAATGAATTAGATTTTGGTCCTATTATTGGACAAGGTTTTTATGGAATTGCACGAACAGTAAATTTTTAATTAAAAAATAATTTATTTTAATAAATTTTTATATTTTTCTTAAGGTTACACTGAGAAAAACTGGTCAGATAATGGTTATGAAAGAAACAAAAACATTTGATAAAGAAGCTCAGAAAATCTTTGTTAAAGAAGTAAGAAGTTATGAAATGGAATCAATTATTTTTCGTGTCGGTTAAAAACAAAAAGAACATAAGACATTTCACTTAACCTCGAAAATTATCCTTCTTGGAGATTCATTAGTTTATTTTTAATTCACTAATACTTTGTCTAATCTGCACGTTTGTGTGTGTGTATTCGACAATTCTGTTGTTTACGAAAAACAAAAAGGATTAATTGTACTATCAAATTTGTAAAAGTCAATGATGAGTTTAGACCAATCATTTTTGCTCCCAGTACCATCTTGTCCATATCTACACCTATGACTTGTTCTATAGATTTACGATAGGATAGATTAATGAGAGAGAGAGAGAATGAACAATCGATTTTTGACTTGAAAATATTTGTCTATTAGTAGATCTTATGAATCTAAATGTTTTATTCTGATTTTCTCTTACAGAGGGGTAATGTAAAATTCCGGAAGCGTCAGCCCGATTTTTTGGAAGAACGCTTCATTGCTTCGTCTCATATGTTTGATAGAATATGGAAAGAAATGATTTCCTTTTTAAGTTATATAAAAACTGATTCAATTTTATAAACGATCACACAAATCGGAAGTTATTCAGTGTTGAATATTTCAAGAAGAAATTAATCGTTTTAACTGAAACCTTTTATGATATTCTTAGAAATTTGATGCCAACTTATGAATAAAATTTCAAGTCAAAAAAAAAATCCTTTGTTAAATTTTTCTTTCAATACTCAGTCGTGTAATTAAAATTGTCGTAACCTTGAAGAGAAGATCTATAAGTTCAAAACCTTTTAGTATTAGTCTAGTCTAGATGTCACCTTTATATAATCAAAAGTATTGCAGGATTTTAAATGATTTCTTTTGTCATTAAACATTTTTATACTGTTTTATAAAATAATATTAAGAATTTGTTTTTCTAGTAGAAACATACAAAAATTTAACTAATACTGAATTCTTTTCTATCACATCGGAACTATCTAAATAGTTCAGACAGTGTCAGGTATTTGAGTAATTATCCAAGTATTTCTTGAGGCAAATAGAAAATCATGGAAGCATTCTAAAGTTACTGAATGCAAATCTACTATAGCAAGATCTAAATTCAAACGTTTGAACTCGATATATACCTATTTCCGATAATTTTGTTTTTCAGCAAAACAAAATATTGTTTATTCATGTTGATAACAACTTGTAAATTTAATAATTATTTTAGGTACAAATTCTTAAACGTTTAAAACATCCAAATGTTCTTAATTTTATGGGTCTTTTACTTGATAAAGATAATCAAATGTGTTTTCTTGTTGGTATGTTTTCTTTTTGAATTCTCTTTTTTGTAAATTATTTCATTCTTAAGATTACATTGCCGGTGGTACATTAAAAAATATTATTCATGATTTATCTATTCCATTAACATGGTTACATCGTTTACGTTATGCAAAAGATATAGCTGCCGGAATGGTAAAATATTAGAAATTTTTATTCTTATTGTTTATTATTTATTTTCAATAGGAATATCTTCATTCATGTAATATAATTCATCGTGATTTAAATAGTTCAAATTGTTTAGTTAAATCTGATGGACAAGTTGTTGTAGCAGATTTTGGTTTATCAAGAATAAATCTTGATGATGATGATGATTATGTAACAACTCAAATGAATGATGGTACATCAGGATCATTTAGACGAGAACAACGAAGTACAAGTACAACAATAACATCAAATGGTAATATTGTTGTTGTTCGACCTAAAACTCGTCGACAAATATTAAGAGATCGTCAACGGTAAAATAGAAAACTCTTCATTTTTTATTTAAACATGTTGATTATTATTTAGATATACAGTTGTCGGATCTCCTTATTGGGTAAGATAATCGAATATGTAAAAACGTGACTATACAGTTTAGACTACAGAATGAAATATATGTAGGTTTATAGAGCCCATCAAATTCGGATCCGAGTCCAGAAATTCTTGTACTCGATTGATTCTAGCTGCATATCGTTTACATAGTAGAACTTAATAATCCACATATTAATTAGTATAATTTACATACATGTTGTTGTGTGAGTATGAGGACGCTGTGATTAAAGTGAAAATATTTCGAAAGTCTTTCTTTAGAAGCCTAGATATATTTCTTACTGTAGTAAAAAAATCTCATCGAAAAAAAAAGTTCTAGTTTTTTATGTAAATTCTATTTTAGATGGCACCTGAAATGTTAAAAGGTCAATGTTATGATGAACGTGTAGATATATTTTCTTTTGGTATCATGCTTTGTGAAGTAAAGAAAAATTTATAAAATAAAAATAAAAATTTTGTTTTATTAAATTAGATTATTGGTCGTGTACAAGCTGATCCTGATTATTTACCACGTACACAAGATTTTGGTTTAAATGTACATTTATTTAATCAAAAATATTGTAGTAAAGATTGTCCAAAACAATTTATTGCTATTGCTATTGCTTGTTGTGACATTAATCCTGATTCAAGGTAAGAAATATAAACAAAACAAAAAAAAAAAAAAGACTTAAAATATTTTGTTTTTATCCATTATAGACCTGCTTTTTGTGTATCTCATCCATGGCTTGAAGCACTTGCATTAAGTGTTGAAACGGGTGTATCTCTCTCTTCGACTTCAAATGGAGATAATTCTTCTTAGTTTTTCTTTTTAAAATCTTTTTACGAATTATCCCGGTGCATTAATTATATATTCTCGTTTGTCTTTTTTCTTTTTCTCTCTCTCACACACTCTCTCCATTATGCCGTCCAGTGGCATCGATAAAATTCCACATGGTTACTTCAAAAAAAAACTAAAACACAAACATTATAGAAATGTTGACAGACCTTTTTCTTTTTTGTTATGTGTATATATATATATATATAGTCTATTGCTCGCATTCCTTCTTTTTTTTTTTTTCTATGTGTATGATTAATCTATTCACTTACAGATAAAAAAAAAATCTGTGTGTTTTTCGCTTTGTTTTTTTTTTATTGGATATAAATTTGTCATCTCTCATATGATAGTTAACGAGTTTTTGTGCTTTAACATTGTATTTATATAAATAACATCACATGATCATTTTTAACTTATAACGAAGAATGATACAAATATAGAAAGAGAAAATGAAAGGCTTTTAGTCCTTGTGCAAAAGAAATGAGCAAGTGTCATTACGCAGAAAGAAAAAGAAAAAAGAAAAAAGAAAAAGGGGGAGATGGAGTTTGTATTATTCTCTTGTTTTTTTTTTCTTTTTCTGCCCGTCGCTTTTTCTTCGTTTATTTTTAGATAGTATAAAAAAGGGTTGCACACACACACACAGTCAGACTTGTGTCAGTACGTAAACATTCGATAGTGTATCTATATCTGAAAAAAGAAAAACAAAATACTTTTCTTTAATAATCGAAATTAGAAAATTATATTTTCTATTATCTTCAAGAAAAACTTATCATCATGTCGTGTATTAAAGTTCAATCAAATAATGAAAAGTTGGTATTTATTTATAAAATATTTTCAATATTTTTTATTTTTTATTTTTAAATAGAATCAATAATTTTTGTTACCGTAACGCGGCCGACATAATGTGGTGCTCCTGATGTTGCCAACGGTTTGTGACAAAAAACTAAAATCTGATTGGATTATTTATATAACGACTATTTTGTTCTTTTAGCTGCTGTAGTCTTACCATCGGGTATAGGCGCTGAGGGCGGTAGCGTTGGACGACGAGTATTAGCCTCGCGCCCAAATGGATCCATCATCAAATCTATGGAATCTTCGAAGGTTAGCTTACTAAATTTTTCTATGAATATCTATAAAATTGTGTTTTTTTTTTCATTAATTTAGACCAATGATGATGAAAATTTGCAAATAAAACATGATTTATTACTTCAATTTTTGTGTGAACATAATCTTTCCTGGTCAATTAAATTACATGTTAATACTCTTTATGTAGAATTTCCTAAAGAAATATCCGAAGGATCAAAAGAAAAGTAATAAAAATCGTGTTTTTTCTCTTGTACATATCATTATAACATTAAATTTTTTTTTTTTTGTGTTTAAATAGATTAGTTAGTCTGCTTGAATTTGCTGATGATGCATTACATTGTAAAAATGTTGTTATATATTTTGATAAAACACGTTCTGATCGAGCAATGGTAGTAAAAACATTTATGTTTCTTGGCTTTCATATATTATCACCTGAGAATATATTAATGCAAAATATTGATAAACAACCCGATCAATTATATATGGTTTATTTTATAGACGATGATGGGTAAATTTTCTTAATCATTAAATGTGTATATTCATTTTGTCTTATTTATTATTGATCAAAAATGTTGTTCCATTCATATTCTATTTGATTTTTAATATAGTTAAGATATATCCTAATGAACAAAAAAACAAAACTTACAATTGGTGTTTTTATTTTTGGTTTCAATTTTCAGCACATTCAAATTTCTTTTCATTTTCACTTTTTTGTTTTATTTGTCTATAAATTAGTTTTCAGAGAATTGTATATATATATATGTATATATGTCATAGTTTATTTGATTATAACTCATTACAAAAATATTAAAATAAATTGAACAATATGAAAAATTTTATTCTTATATGTTGATAGAAGAAAAAATCTGATAATTAAATATATACTTTTTATTAATAGAATTTTTCTTGTTTTATGATAATTGAAGAAATAATCATATCAGACATTTATAATTTTTATCTTACAAAAGAAACTTTGCATTCATTTGATTAATTACAATATTTGAACAGTTCGCAATCTGTTCCATCATTCATATAAAGGTTATTTCAGTTTCCAAGATTTATAAGTTTTGCTCTGAAGAAATCTTAATTTTTTTGACGAAAAAGAAATCTCGTCTACATAATGAGTTCAAAAAGAGGCGTAAAAATCACAGAATGCTGATAGCAATCATTTCTATGATATTTTAAAGACATATGTTACTATTAATATTCTGAGCTGCTTATGGATCCACATTTTAAAACCAAACCATCATGCAGATAATACTATTCAAACTAAAAATGCACCTTGAACAACAAAACAACTTGATTCGTCAGAAAAATAATTTTAAAACTAGAAAACTTATGGAATTTTTATATGAATAATGAAAATAGACTTTGAACTGTTTACTAATATTAATGAAAATTTCTTTTGCATGACAAAAGTCACATACGTCCAAATTATTTTCTCGACCTAGTTTATATGTTATATTTACTCAATGCTCTATCAAGACATCATTTTCTCTCCAATTAATCACTTGGTAATAAAATGTCATGGTTTTTTTTCTTCCTATATAACTATGTAAACATGTCACGATTTTTCATTATGCTGTCAGAATCAACGAACAATTATTGAAAAACTGAAAGACTAAATTAATTTACTTTTATGTTTTAGAAGTGTTCGATATCTTTCTGATGCATTTAAATGAGTATTTTAAAAAAGAATGTAGAACGAGAAGAAAGAAAGTATTTTTCTTTTTCTTTGAATATTAATCAAACAAGAAAAAAGACCGTGAATCAGATGATTGATTGATTAATAAATATGAAAACATTTATCAAGGTAATACAACGCCTTTTTCTAGGTCTTTTATATCGAAATTTCTTTTTCTATGAATTCGAAATGATTGAATTTTATTCTTTTTTTCAAAGAAATATTCTTTTCATTAGTAAAGAATGTTGTCAGTTGACTTTTTTTTTTTCTAACTTCGCATTTAATTTTCTTTTGTACTTAATGGCCGACACATCTGTGGCAAAGTACTTCAAAAAAGGTAGAAAGAATACATAAAATTGAATTTAAAAAAGAATACATCAGCAATGTAAACTATCTTTAGTAAGCATGGTAAAATGTATTATTAAAGAAAATGCATCAACAGAAAAATGTTCGAGATTTTTTTATATTATTGTCAGTGCATCATAGACCAACTCAAATAATTTAACTGTTCAATCATCTACAGATTCTAAAAGTAAACGATTTCTATCTATAAAAATTGTCATAATATTTCAACTATCATAATATATTTGAGAAATGATATAACAAAATGAATATAATAAATTTACAAAAACGTAACACGTATATGGTTAGAACGTGAAACAGATTTTGTCAGTATAATTAATAGAAAGAGATGTTTGATAAGTCAGCTTAAATCAATACTATACTATGATTAATTCCACAAGGAGAAATAGCATAAATATTATTATAATGGATTTTGGTTTGCGTTGAGCTTACATCGTACACTTCTACTATTGCCACTAAAATATAATGTACAGGGATATTACTTTAATAAATCTTGATAGAAATAACGTAAAGTCCTGAATTGTTCATTATTCAATATAGAACACTTGAAGCCATCCATCAGAGTGAATCGAAATCTGATTGGTCAGCAATCGAAAACAATCAGATAAGCTCTTGGCAAAGATTTTGAAAACGATATTAAAAAAAAAAGCATTCTTGCCAGTGTCACGAAGACAAAAAAAAAAGCACGAGCAGCAAATACAAATCCATAATGAAGAATAGATTGTGTGGATATTTACATTTTATTTAAAAAACAAAATATACTTAGGTCTATCCAAAAGTAATGTTGCGTCTATCTTATTTTCTTATAAAAGGGTCAAAAACAAAATTCTTTTTTTATAGAATGATAGAGAAAATGAAGCTCTATTTTTCTATACTATTTCATCACTATCCAACCAGTATTATACTAATAAAATTTCGAGCAGAACTATTTTCTGTGCGACAAATTTTCACTGCCCCGAAAAAAATCATGCAAAGAGAGATTTCGTTTTTCTTATTTCATATATAAAATAAACTGTTCTTTATAAATTGTAGAGCTTTTCACGCTGTATCTTGTGGTATATTTTATTTTTTAGTACAACGTATTGAGTTATTGAAAATTGAAATACAAAGCGTATTAATCTGCCTCATCTATTAGTTAAGTTTTACACAAAAACAGTTCTTATCGATATTTTATTAGTATAATACTATTATCCGTTTCAAAATAGAAGAGACCTTAGTGTTTTTTTAATAACTTTTGAACGGAACATGATAGAGAGCTGCGGTTTTGACCATTGGACAGAGAAATGTTGGGGCCAGATTTCAATACAAAAATTTGATTGGTTCATAATGGATCAATCATATAAAATCCCAACGGACATTTTGCAAACATTATTTTGAACGCAATTCTGATATTGTTATGGATTCTGTCATGACTATTCGGTAGAAAAAAATGTTCTCTTTCGATCTAGATAAGGCCCAACTTTCTATCACATTTCTTTGAGGAGTTATACAGGTTTTACTGAGACCTCCGATTTCGGCCAATTCAAGTAGAATCGGTCGGAAAACGAGCTTGGAAGGGGTAATTCACCACGCTGAGTCAAGTGGCAATATTTATTTTTTTGATTCAAAATAGATTAACGCTATAATTTTAATATTTCTCAAANTAATTATAACTTAAATGCAAATATGACTCATTGAGACAAAAAAAAATTTATATCTATCTAACAGAAATGGAAATATCACCAGGACTAAGTCATTTTAGTTTTTACAAATAAATACTTGTCGACCATTCGTTATCTTTCTAAAATATATTCTCGAAACTCCTTCATTTTATTATCTGACTTTTGATCAATCTCTAGCCTGTTTTCTAAAGCAGGTGTTTTTGACGGAACCAGGGAAAGTTCAATTACAATATGGAAACTGACTAAGAAACAGGCTGTTGAGATACATATAACATGATAGTATTTTCTTGCGTTTTCAATCCTTATTCCCTCTACTGAAAGGAGGGTCTTACGCCGAAATGAGTTGATTACGTTCGTTCGCACAGAACGAAAAAATGTTCTTTTGACCTCTCTCATGGAAACGCCTTATAAAATTTGACCAAAAGTAATTGGGGTCGGGGAACTCGAATCTGTGGTTACTTTTTTGAAATTTTGCTTTTTGCTTTTTTATGAAAAAAGTGTTTTTTTATAAAGTTTGACCACAGATAATCAGGATCGGGAAACTCAATTTCGTGTGTAGGTTTTCAAAATTTTCAGGCAATTTTTTAATGAGCAAAGACGACTGCGCAGAGGTCTATTGCAGAAAATGAAAACATGAGCTTTTTGAAAAAGTACGACTAAGCAACCAACAACTGACGGATCAGAGGTGTTTCGAAAGTATTTAGGGATAGCATAAAGGCATTATTAATGGCTATGATCCTAAACAAATAAATTGAATTGATGCAACTAAGAGAACGACTGTCGCTTGATAGAATATTAAATGATTAATGATCTGCCATAGTTCAAGTAAGTTTGTGATGCATTAAGAGCTGTTTAGATTGTCACATTTCCGTGATAGAAATTCTTTGTAGTGAAGTTTTTCAAGGGTACAAGTCGATGATATTGATAATGGTAGATGTATCATATGTTAATATGAGATCTTATTAGGACTAGGCTATAGGCAACTTGTTGTGGAATTGATTCTCAATTTGGCAACGGCTAGCCGTGAGCGGCGCCCCAGAGGGGCGCCGATGAACGACTAGCCGCCCACCTGCGTATGTCGTTGTTTCATTGCTTAAGAAAAACTTCATATTAAAACAAGCATGATTTTGGAGAATACTGTGCTAAGGTCCCTTTCATCAAACAGTTCAACATAACTCCATGTTCGTAGATTGTGCAAAAAACCCTAAGATGTTGAAGATTTTTTACGGAAGTATTCAGTTTATGCTTGATATGTCAACTATTTTATTTGAGCATTAAGAATTTATGCAAATTTATCAGCTAGAATTCTATATCAGCACATTTACGAACGTTCACAAACTGTCTAAGTACTCGGTAATCTTGTCTTATTCTTCTCAAAATTGTAAGGAATTTGTCGCATATGCAGATGAATCCCAATTAAATTAGTCCCATAATTGTTGTTGTCGGATTTCTTGAAAATTCTCTTGGTTTCATCTAATAATTATCTAATGAAGAGAAGTTTCAATCAATCATGCAGTGTTTAAATAGGACACGTTGGCCACGTATATGAAACAAACTAGTAGAGGAGACGGCTAGTGATGAGTGGCGCCCCAGAGGGGCGCCGACGAATGACTAGCTGCTCAGTTAAAAATTTGTTGCGATTAAGACTACAGGGCTTGAAGACTTATAGAATAGTTACACGTTGTCTCGATCAGAAAAGTTGATACAATTTTCGAAAGTGGTAGAAACCTTCAAGTTCTTCTGAAGGTAGGTCGTGAAATAATTGCTCAACTCGTATGAAATATTTGAAACTTATATTTATCGC